CAAACAGTAAATGGTGTTAAGAGAAATCCAAGGGAACTTAGTAACTAGTCTTAACATTTGCCTCTCTGGGCAGTTTTTGCAGAACTTTCAATTCCGTTTTATTTCTAAGCCAAAGAAAGCTAACATATGGAAACTACTTTATGGCTTTTAAAGCTATGGGGTATTATGTAGTCAGTAAGATACTTTACATCAGAATGGAGAAAAATATTAGGTATTTTTCCTCCATATTTCAAAAAGAGAAATGTCCTTAAAATACAGGTCACAATGGAGAAAATCTTGGAGTGTTGAAGGCCTTAGAACAAAATCTCCAAATGAATTATCTGTTGAAACGAAAACTTAAAACAAAATAATTTTTCCCTCTATGTAAGTGTTTTTATTATAACACATGGCAATACTTCTCGTACATTTCCCCACTCTAGAGATATAATTGAAGGACACCCGGACTGCAGAATCACTGGGGAGGATGGCAGCATTAGCCAGATCCTCAAAAAATGCCTCCATTATTCCATGAAGCAGGCACAGGGTTTAAAAACCACAAAGAAATATATCCAAAGCTTAACAAACTGCCGGAGTCCCTGGTAGTACTTGGAATAGGCAAGGTCAGAAGGATAAGGCACAGGGCCCCCAAGATGGACGTGTCACCTCATCTCTAGAATGTTGTGAAGTATTGCTGAAAAAGGAATGAGGACGGTGGGGAATCACACACTAGATCTCCAATTCACTGTCACTCCTACTCTGGGTTAGTCAGAACCAGTCTTGTGACCACACTTAATTTCAAGGGCGTGAAGAAATACAATCCTTACAATTCTGCTAATTGTATGGAGAGAAAGAACTGGGTGAACTGGGAAGTAGTAGTCGTGCCCTAACTCATCTTTCAGTTTCTTGTTATATGAGAACAGACCTTTCCTTACAGTTTTGGAGCAGATAGAGTGAAAAGGGAACTCTTATACACTGTTAGTGGGAATGTCAATTAATACAACCTCTATGGAAAACAGTATGGAGATTCTTCAATGAACTAAAAGTAGACCTACCATTCAATTCAACTACCCCACTACTGGTTATCAAATCAAGGAAAAAGAAGTCATTATATCAAAAAGACAGCACCCTAGAATGTTTATCGCAGCACAGTTCACAACTGCAAAAATAATGGAATCACTATTGCCCATTAATTGATGAATAAAGAAAATAGAGTACTGCTCAGCCATTAAAGGAAAGAAATAATGTCTTTTGCAGCAACTTGGGTGGATCAGGAGACCATTATCCTAAGTGAAGTAGTTTAGGAACCGAAAAACCCCAAATACTACATATTCCCTCACAAGTAGGAGCTACAAATCAGTGTTTTCAACATTAAAAGAAGATAATGTCAGCAACAGTTAAGCGTACCATTTTGAGAATCTAATTATACCTCTGTTTATAAATACACAATGATGTATAGTAAAAGATAATTAAGAAAAGAAAAAAAAAACCACATTTGTCAATTCATATGGCTACAAGTTATTTCGACCTAACACTAAAAGTCAGATGCATAAGAAGCAAAGCAGAGCTGCTGCATTGGCTATAGGGCCATTTAAGCAGAAATATGAGGCCTGGATCTTGGAAAGACTTAGTTTTATTTTTTATTTTTTTGAGACAATCTTACTTTGTCACCCTCAGTAGAGTGTTGCAGTGTCATCATAGCTTATAGCAACCTCAAACTCCTGAGATCCTCTTATCTCAGCCTCCCAAGTAGCTGGGACTACAGGCACCTGCCACAACACCTGGCTATTTTTAGAGATGGGGTCTTATTCTTGCTCAGGTTGGTCTCGAACTCCTGAGCTCAGGCAATACACTCACCTTGGCCTCCCAGAGTGCCAGGATTACAGGCATGAGCCACCATGCTGGCAGAACATTTTTAAGACATTTTTTAAACATTACAAAATACCCCAGGAATAGAGACAGGCCTGGGAACAAAGTCTAAGAAGCCTTTCTTAGCATTTGACTCAGATATACTGACCTGAGGAACCCAGGTATACTGACAAGTGGTGCTTTAGCATTGCGGACATTCCAGGTTTTAAAGACAAAGAAAATACACTGTAAGCATAGCTAAACTGGCCTAGGAGTGCGGCAGGTAGAGGATTAGGGACAAGAGCTCCGTGGCCTCTGCTCAGACCCACACAAGCGCTTCAGCTGCCAAGGTTATCTGCAGAAGCCAATGTGACAAGGCTAAAAAAAAAAAAAAAATCCACCTCCTTCACTGCAATGTCTACCTTCAATTGTTTCATAAATTACCTTCCACTGAAACCACCTCACATATTGATGGAGGGGTGCAAGGTGAGAGCTAGAGCCAGGGCCCCAAAGCTCTCTGGAGGAACAGGCCTAGCTAAATTATTGATAATACTCAAACTCTATGATGGAGCAGGCTTAGCTAAAATAGTGGTAATAATCAGCCACTGTCCCCTCCCTTGCTTGATAATAGTCACTGTCTCCTTGTTAGCATCTCTGTAACTGCTACTCTACAGGGTACAGTTGTAAAGATTCTTTACTTTTCTCCTTAGAAAACACCGCCTGTTCAAAACCTAGGGGTAGTTTTTGAGATACCTTCCAGGTCCTGCATTCCAGTGGGTTGACTAACCTGCCCAGGCCAAGAAACCGACTCAACTGGCGTTGGACCCTCCTCCCACCAAGGAACTGCATTCCAGTGGATCAGCTGACCCACCCAGAAAGCCACCCACACCCAAGGACAACTGATTCTGCCCCAAACCAGCCATGTAGGAGATCTTGATTGCCAAACCTTCTGCCCCAAAAACTGTCATTAAAAACCCTGTCCCTCTAATTCTCAGGAAAGCTGATTTGAGAAATTGCTGGCATCTTCCCACTTAGTGCTATATGGAATAAACTCTTTCTCTGCTTATATGGAATAAACTCGTTCTCTGCTGTAAATCCTGCTGTCCCTGATATTGGTTGGATTTCTCTTGGGCAACAGGGCCAGCAAAGGAGAAGCATCAACATAAACAAAACAAAACAAAGCAAAACAAATGAAAATTCCTTCTCCTCCCTTCTTCCTCCAGCCGGCCAACCCCACTTCCCTGCCTTTGAATACAAGGCCAGATTCCTGCTTCTTGCCTGCAGTAACATTTTCCATCTCTGCAGCACATAAAATATTTTTTTTTTCTGTATCATGAAAATATTATGTCCAGTCAAGAAATTTTAAAAGGTGGGAGAGTTACCCAAGTGTGTCTTCATCCACACGTTTTTAATGTTCAGAAATCTTAAAAGACATTAAAAAGCAGCTATTTCTATTTCAAGTGGAGATTGGAAACAAGCAAGCAGTCTGAAAAGGTAAAATAAAATTCTATGAGATAAATTCAGTGTATGAGAGGCCCCCATCTTCCTAGTATTTGTACACTTGCTTAATCACCAGGGAGGGTGGTTAATGTAATATTCTAGTGTAAATTTCCTCCCATCTTTTTAAGCTCTTGGCTTTACAGAGCATGGAGCAGTTTGCAGCTCTATTTGTAAGGACAGAAAAGTAAATCCTAACCAATTAGATTTGTTTGCCAGGAAAAATGTCTTTTCAGATGTAAATGAGGGCTACTTTAAAAGCTCTTTTTAGCCCAATTTGGCAGGAAGATCAAAACTAAATTCTATTACAAATTAACTCTTAATCCTGGTATATTCAATTCCTGGTTCTTTTTGAAACAAAATCCCCTGTCTGGGGCCGGCACGGTGGCTCACGCCTGTAATCCTAGTACTCTGAGAGGCCAAGGCAGGTGGATCTCTTGAGTTCAGGAATTGGAGACCAGCCTGAGCAAGACCGAGACCCCAGTCTCTAAAAGTAACCGGAGGTGTGGCAGTTGCCTGTAATCCCAGCTATGGGAGAGGCTATGGCAAGAGAATCACTTGAGCCCAAGAGTTTGAGGTTGCTGTGAGCATTGATGCCATAGCTCTCTACCAAGGATGACAAAGTGAGACTCTGTCTCAAAAAAACAAACAAAATTCCCTGTCTGGGCTACAGAAGGATTCATCCTAGGATTCAGGTGTGTCTAGGGAACTAGAAAGGATAGTCAAGAAGAGCGTGGTTCTACAAAGGACTTAAGCATTTTGAGAAGGAACACAAAGTGTGGGTGTACCAACTGGTTCAAAGATGATGTGTCAACGAAGGAAAGGAGCTTCCGTTTAGGCCTGTTCAGGGAGGAATCTCCAAGACCTGCCAGGGACTTTCAGCCTGGAGCTCCCCACATCCACATCTAGATTTGGTGTTGCACCTTCTAGATCAGCAGTAGGGAAAAGCCAGTGTGGAGTTATGTATCCATGTATGTGAGTTCTTTCCTCTCTACACCCTTGAGACTGGTGTCTACCTAACCCTTACAACAAGAGCAGTAAAAACTTTCTGTAGTCCTAAAAGCATCAAGAAAACAAGATGGGCTGGGTGGTAGCTCATGTCAATAATCCTAGCACTCTGGAAGGCTGAAGTGGGAGGATTGCTTGAGCTCAGGAGATGGAGACCAACCTGAGCAAGATCAAACCCTATCTTTACTAAAATTTGAAAAGTTAGCCTGGTGCCATGGTGGGTGCCGATAGTCCCAGCTACTTGGGAGGCTGAAGCAGGAGGATCGTTTGAACCCAAGAGTTAAAGCTGCTGTGAGTTAGGCTGATGTCATAATACTCTAACCTGAGCAGCAGAATGAGATTCTGTCTCAAAACAAACAAAAACCCACAAAATGCACTGAAAGAGGAAAAGAAATTATTCAAAGGCTGAGAACTTAAGGGTTTTTCCAGGTTCTTTGATGGCTGTAAAAAACAAAAAAAAAAAGGACATGAAATGAACAATAATTGTTTTCAACAGCCCTCTTGTGCAAAAAGCGTTCATGTTACGGGTGCAAAACATACATTTTCTTGGTTCTTGACTACACCTAAAATTTTAAAAAGGTTATTTTTGTTTTAATGATTTCAAACACTATTATTTGTTATCCCTTCATCAATCATTCAAATAACCAGAACATCTAAAAATTCATTCTTACTTTTATCTGGACAGGCTTGATTTCATCAAATCTTCTATCAGCAAGAGATTTCCTCGTCTGGCCTCTTCGATGTCCAAATTTACACTTGTTTCTCATCACTTGTTCATCATCTTCTATGGGTCTTCGAACATATTTAAAGCGATCTTTGAGGGCTCGTTTCCATAAAGTCTGTGTAAAATAAAATAGGCCAGTTAATCTAATACCTGCGCAATAAAATCTTTATTGGTCCATCACCCTAGGGTTTGAAATTATTTTCATATCGCAGTAATAAAAAATATATCTATCCTTCCATTTATCCTTAAAATAATCTTGTGACAGTGCTATGAAAAATGTAAATCTTAATTTATAGCTAAGGAAACAAAAGTTGGAGAAATAAAAATAATTCCCATTGTCATATAGTTATTGAGTAAATATACTGGTTCCTAAATCAGGATTTTCTAACCATCAAAAGTGGATACCTTCCGTTATACTCTACTATTTCCACAACCCATTCCATTTTTCTAGTGGGTTCTAAACAAAACCTCATACTGGCTTATGAATTAATGCATTTACATTTGTTTCCTCATATTTCAAAATACTTTTTGGTGATTATTACTGGCATTCACTCCCCAAATATTTGTGGTGCATCTACTGTTTCAAACACAAAGAGGTAGGGAAAAGGGTGCGGGTAGACCTTGCTTTTAGTCAGCAGAGGGATAAATAATTTTTATATTTGGCCAAAATGTTATAATAGAAGAAGACACAGCATTAGCTTACAGGGTTAGAGGATCACAGAAGCCTTCCTGTAGGAAGTGCGTCTAAACTGGGGCCTGGGTCTTAGGCTCAGGTAACTATGAGAGGAGGACGGGTTGGGTGGGTGGACTGAAGTTCCAGGAGGATGAAGTAGCATGGGCTGTGAAGTAGAGAGAGCTGATGCCCTCTGGAGCACTGCCAAGAGTTGTGCATGACTAGGGCAGAAAGTGCAGGATGCAGGGATGACAGAGGATGGCGGAGATAAAGAGAGGGAGAGAGGCCAGCCCAGTCCCGAAGGACCAGGGTGATCTCATTAAGGAGCTTCAACACAATCCTGAACCAGGTCTTCTCCAATCCCCCTCTGTGGACAGGCTGCATCATAATCTCATGGGGGAACTTTTGCCTTTGGCCCTTTAAAGCAATAGCTCTCTCAGCATTTAGCCTGAATCACAATTCCCTGCGGACTTAGAGCACAGCTGCTGAGCCTCCCCTCAGACTCTCTAACCGATAGGTCATGGGTGGGGCTGGGAATTTGCATTTCTGATAGAATCTCTAAGTGAGGCTGACGCCACTGGTCCAGACTCTAAAGGCTCTGGATCAGTAGACCTGAACGGAGCCCAGCTGTCTGTGTTTTTAAAAAATGTATAGATTATTTAGCTGCAGAGCCAAGTTAGGAAGCCTTCCTAGGCCCTTTTGAGTCAGGAGCGTGATGGTCAGATTTGGGCTCAGAAGAATCTGGCACATGGAATGTCTGGGCATTTAGAGACCTAGCTAACAGCTCAGGAACACACCAGGGCTCCTTCCTCGACATTTCCTTCTGCTGGGCCTTCTGTTTGGGGCAGAAACCTCTATCCCTCTCCTCCCCCAGCCAGCTGGTGCCTAGTTAATGATCCTTCACTACCACGTCTGGGCTCAGCATCTCCGCTTCACAGAAGCCCCCCTCTGGCCTTTCCAATAGCTCATCTCCCTGGGTTGAGCTCACCTCTGTCTGTCAGCACTTACCACACTGGTAATTTACTCTCAACCCTGTGGTGATTTTTGTTTGTTTCTTCTATTTTCCTTTTTATGTTTCCTTCTTCCTTGCCTCCCTCCTCTCTTCCTTTCTTTGCTCCAGGCTACAAAGACCAAAGGACAGACTGGTCTGCCTTGCCCATCAAGCCAAGCACAGTGTTTGGTCTTTTTTTTTTTTTTTTTTTTTTTTTTTTTAAAACAAAGTCTCCCTTTGTCACCTTCTGTAGAGTACTGTAATGTCATAGCTCACAGCAACCTCAAACTCTTGGGCTCAAGTGATTCTCTTGCCTCAGCCTCCCAAGTAGCTTGGACTCCAGGTGCCAGACACAAGTCCTGGCTATTTTTTGTTGTTGTTGTATTTTGTTCAGCAGGCCCAGGCTGGGTTTGAACCCACAAGCCCCAGAGCATGTGACCAGCACCCTAACCACTGAGCTATGGGTGCCCAGCCACCAAGAATAGTGTTTGATGCAAATTAGAAGCCAGAAATATTTGACCCTGTGTGTCACGCCTCTATGAGGCAGAGAGATTCAGGTGTCAGTGCAACAGACCAGCAGCAAGACTCTGCGTCTCAGCCTTGCGTGGTAAGTAACTTACTGTGTGAATAATAGTGGGTGCAGGGTAAAAAAGAGGCACTTTGCAATCAGACGGGCCCATTTCCCTCTCAGCTGTGGCCTCTGGAATGGGTGGTAAATTGCTGAGAGGCTCTAGGTGTGTTTTTTCTGCGCACTGTTACCTACAGGCAAATGGGAATATCACTGAAATAACACTGTCAAGTGTTGGGCATTTAGATTTTGCCATTCCAGGTTACATGGCTTACAGGTCCCAACCAGAGTATTCTTTAGAAAGCACCGTGGCCTAAGTTGGGAAGACACAGGGTCTAAGTACTAGCCCGAGTCCTTGTTAGCAAAGTAACCTTCAACAAGTTACCCCAACCCACCCACCCCCGACTTCGTTTCTTAAACTATAAAATGGAATGGTAAAATCTGTCCTGTCCAATGCACTGGATTTTTGGAAGACTCCAATGAGTAGCTACTTGTGGGAGATATTTGTAAACTAGAGTACTGTTCATAGAACCCTCCAACAGCCCCGGATAAGGCAGCAGCAGGGCAGGGGGAGGGTGGCAGTGGCCTCAGCTCTGATTAAGTGCCTGGGTGTGCATGACTCAGAGCTGCTTCCTCACCTCCCACAGGCTTGGGAGCCTGGACTTTGCTATCGCTGTTTTACAACAGCTCGGGGAAAATGAGTGGCTCCTCTTTTTCTTAGCCCCTAAAGATGAACTAGTGCAAATACATTTTTCCCTTCATGCTTCCTACAACTCTGAGAGGCCTCTAAGCCTGCTGAACCTGGTGGGAGGCATTACAGCTATCACGTGCTAGGACATTTTCAAATTGCCAATTTCTTTTTCCCAGCCTTTCCTGTCTCTCTTCATTAACTGTCTGATAGGAACAGAAAAAGGACAAATCAAATACTGTCTTCTACATGAGCATTCAATCAGTGAGTATTTACTGAGCGTCTGCTGGATGCCTGGCACTCTGAATTACTTAGATAGATGCCTCAGGTAGATGGACTTAGTAGAAAATATTTGTGTTATAGAATAAGCATCCCTCCTCTCCCTATGTTTCCAGCTAACAGGGCTGTGGAAAGTTCCACATGGATACAGTTTTCCTCCAATCACTCTGAAATGGAAAATGGGCCCTGAAATTATGAGCCTCCTACCGTGACACGTGAAACACTTCACAGCATCACCAGAGATTTTTGTTCAGTATTTAAAGCCCCAATACAATTCTTAGGAAGCAGACAGATGCAGAATGTGGGCCCTCTTACGTGGCGACTGGACTAGACTTGTCCAAAAAGCAAATATCGGAAAAACAAAAAAGAGTGGGGAGATATTGTCTAGACAAAAAGAACGTAAAGAGACATAATAACTAAATGAAATGCATCAGACTCAATTCAATTTTATAGCAAAAAATCCATTTGAAAAACAGTTTTGAATAATTGGAGAAATGTGAATATGGACTGTCTATGCTATTATGAAATTATTGTCCATTTTCTTAGGTAGAAAAATGGTATCATGGTTATACAGAAGATGGTCCTTATCTTTATAAGACATATGCTGAGGCGGTTAGGGAAGTCACCTGCAGCTTGCTATCAAATGCTCAGCCGAAACAAATAAATATGAGAGAAGAAAAATCAAAGTGGTAAAATGTCAGTACCTAGTGAATGTAGATTAGTGATTGTCAACAGGAGATGTGGTGTTGTCCCTCCCCTCCCAGGAGACACTGGTGATGCTTGGGGACGTGTTTGGCTGTTACACTGAGGTGGATGAGGTGCTACTCACACCTCAGAGGGCCCAGGATGCTGCTGAATACCCTAGAATGCACAGGACAGCCCTACCAGAAAGAATCATCCAGCTGTAGGTGTCAGTAATACAAATGGGGAGAAACCTTGATCTGGGTGAAAGGTATTTGAGCATCATTGTAGCTTCTTTCAACTTTTGTGTTGATTTGAAGTTTTTCAAAACAAAAAGTTGAAAATAAATTTTTCCCCCAAATAGCCAAATGTACTTTGTCTCTCTCTCTCTTTCACACACACACACACACACACACAACCTCTGAAATGTTATACATCTTCCATTGTAGCATCAGAACACACAGACTTGCAGGGAGAATCTGGGTAAACATCTACCCACGCCCCTGAGTTTCCCTTTTCACTGTGCAGGTGCAGATATGAGCCACAACTTGCTAAGCAATTTTGCTTTTCTTTATCATTTAACCTTCTTTAGCTAAGGCCACTGGGAAGAGATGTGAGTAAAATGCACACAAGAGCCAAGAAAGCATCATTTGCTACTTTGTATGTCACCTTGACAACCATAAAATGGAAGATTGTAATTGCATAGATACGGATTTGCTTATATGTGCATATATGTAAAAATTCTCTAGAAGGAAACTTTGATAACACTGGTTACTTCTGGGGAGGAAACTTAGGCATCAGAAGGGCAGGGGTTGGTGGAGACTTTTCCATTTCATACCTGGTGGCAACTTTTGAATCTTGAGCTATATGAATGTGTAGAATTCTTATACTTTCATGCCTTGGGTTTCAGTCTGTTATCCATCATGAATTAAATTTGTGAGTGGGATAAAAATGGGATCCCATTTTTATCTTCTATTATTTTTGTTTATTTATTGTTCTATTTTTTCTAGAGACAAGGTCTTGCTATGTTGCCCAGGTCTCAAACTCCTGGCCTCAAGCAATCCTCCTGTCTCTGCTTCCCAGAGTACTGGGATTGCAGGGGTGAGCCACTGCACCCAGCTAAATTATTATTTTATTTTATTTTTATTTCAGAATAGTATGAGGGCATTCATGTTTTGTTTACATCATTACTTTTGTTTGAGTCAAAGTTATAAGTGTGCCCCTTATGCAGATATGAAACATTATACCTGTTAAGTGTGAATTTGCCCCTTCTGCCCCCCCCACTTGCTTGCTTTCCATTGAGTTTTACTACCAAATATGCAGATGATGTTGATCGATTAGTTCCTTTTTAATAGTGAGTACATTAGTTTTCCATTCTCGCAAATCTTCACTTACAAGAATGGTCTCCAGTTCTACCCAGGTTGTTATAAAAAGTATTAGTTCACCATATATATATGTGTGTGTGTGTGTGTGTGTGTATATATATATATATATATATACATTTTTTTTTTTTTTGAGACAGAGTCCCATTCTGTTACCCTGGATAGAGTGCCATAGAGTCATTGTAGCTCACAGCAACTTCAAACTTCTGGGCTCAAGTGATCCTCTTGTTTCAGCTTCCTGAGTAGCTGAGATGACAGGTGCCTACTACAATACCTGGCTAGTTTTTATTTTTAGTAGAGACAGGGTCTTACTCTTGCTCAGGCTGGTCTTAAACTCAAGCAATCCACCTGCCTCGGCCTCCCAGAGAACAAGGATTATAGGCTCAAGCTTCTGTGCCTAGCCCCTGGGATTTTTTGATAAAAGCTATTCTCACACACACATATATATGGTGAACTAATACTTTTTGTAACAACCTGGGTGGAACTGGAGACCATTCTTGTAACTACCTCACTGTAGTTTTGATTTGCATTTCCTGATGATTAGAGACATTGAGCATTTTTTCATGTTTAATGGCCATTAGCCTATCTTCTCTTATAAAGCTTCTATTCATGTCTTTTGCCCATTTTTTATGGGGTTGTTTGATTTTTTTTTCTTGTTGCTTTGCTTGAGTTCCTTGTAGATTCTTGTTACGTGCTGTACATCTTTGTTGGATGTATAGCATGCAAATATTTTCTCCCACTCTGTAGGGTGTCTATACACTCTATAGATTGTTTCCTTGGCTGTGCAGAAACCTTTTAGTTTAATCAGGCCCTATTTTAAAATTTTTGTTGTTGCCGTGATTGCCTTTGGGGTCTTCTTCATAAATTCTTTGCCTAGGCCAATTTCTATAAGAGTTTTTCCTCTAGAATTCTTATAGTTTCTTCTAGAATTCTTATAGTTTCATGCCTTGGGCTTATGTGTTATACATTTTCTTCTAGAATTCTTATAGTTTCATGCCTTGGACTTGTGTGTTATCCATCATGAATTACATTTGTGAGTGGTGAACAGTGAGGATCCTGTTTCAATCTTCTACATGTGTCTATTTATTGAATAGGAATTCTTTTCTCCAGTGTATGTTATTGTCTGTTTTGTCAAAGATCAGAGGGGAATGTGAGTGTGGTTTTATATCTGGATTTTCTGTTCTGATCCACTGGTCTATGTCTCTGGTCTTGTGCAGCCAAATTATTTTTTAAAACCTAAGTTCTATGTACAGTAACACTGATTACTTGGTAGATATTATATCTCCGGTGTAGAAGGAATTCTGGACAAAAGTTTTATCAGCCACACTGACATGATGGTCAGTGTTAAGACTCCAGGTTTGTTTGTTATTATTATTGTTGCTTTCTTGTGTTTTGTTTTAGAGCAAATTTGGTTTACTCTATCGTGTGCTTCATATAAGCAGCATGTCTTAGAAAGCATATCATCCTAGCAGGAAGAATACCTGAATTCTAGCCTTGGCTTCAATAGTTACTATTTCCAGACATGGCATGTAATATCTTTCCCAAGTCTCAGTTGTAAAAGAGAATCTTCAAGTCCCTGTACATTATGAAAATTCTGAGACTTTGGCCATATCTAATGAACCTTTTCATGACAATACCAAAAAGTAAGAAAGGAAGGAAGGGAGGGAGGAAAAGGGAGAGAAGTAGGAAGAAAACAGAGGCCTTAGATATTTTGACATTCACAGATATTGGCATTTAACCTTGGTTTTTAAAATTGAATCCAATTGCTTAAATTTTCTATCTTCAAGAAAGCAGAGCAAAAATATTTTCTCACAGATACCTGAGATGGTAAGGTATAAAAAAACTATCCTATTTAGATATGACTACCAATGTGTAGGTATATGGCATAGAGAGATACAGAGACTAATAAACATAAATATATCTTATGTATACATAGCTAAAGTTCTCCATAATTATTCTCAAATCATATAATTCCAGTGTCATAGACACTCAGTTTTGTGTTCTCATCTTTACTAATTTTAAGTGTGTACTTCCACAGTGTTAAGCATATCCACACTGTCATGCAATAAAGTCACCAGTCTCTTAAATCAAAGAGACAGGCAGATCCAAAGAGCAAAGTTGTACTGATCCCTATAAAAGGAGTGGTTTCAACCGTGGCTGAACATTAGAATCATTCGGGAAACTTTTTCAGGTACCAATAATAGGTCCCATCCTCAAATCAATTAAATCAGCATCTCTGGGAATGCTAATGTGTAGCCAGAGTTTAGAGCTGCTACTCCAGAGCACCCTTAGAATCTGCTTTTATCAGGTCATAGGACCTAGTCTGCCCTGAAGGTGGAGACCAAAGCCTCAAAGTCAGTTTATCCACTGGGTCTAAACAGAAGGCAAGAAACATTTGACAGATAGAAGCTCTGACACAAGTCCTTCCCTTTCTATGCATCCTTCTCCTAAAGACCCTTCCTAGAGACTCATCACTCCATCTGGGCTTCCTAACAGCTTTGAAGGAAGGATAGACAGATGATGGCAGAGAAAGACAAAGAGGACAAAGAAAGGACAGGGCACAGAGAGAGAAGTTATCAAAAAGGGGAGGGGGAGGGGAACGTGTGCAAAGCCAAGAAAGAAGCAGGCACTGAGAGAAAGACAGAGTCAAAGAAAGAAAAAATCGGAGAGCATTAACCGAGACAAAGAAAGAACCAGAGAAATAGGCAAAAAAAAACCAGACAAACCAAGACAGACTGAAAGAGGAAGACATCAAGAAAATAGGGGTGAAGCATAAAATCGCTGGGCAGTACACAGCTATAATTTTAAGATGAGCTGAGATTAAAAAGATGGCACCATGTGGTCACTTACAAAGCCACAGCCGTCCTCGTCCAGGAAAGGGTGGGCCTGCAGCAGGGCGTTAACCACATCATTGTACTGCTGGGTGGTGGGGTACCTGTGAACCGCACCAAAGAGAAATATATTTCACTCCAAGCTACCCATACTCCTTCCTTTTGATGATATTATACTCAGAGTTTTCTTCAAATCTTTCTAGATAACAAAACAGACATTCAAATATTGGACGGTGTTGGGCCTATAACAAATATGTCATCCCCAATCTGGAAAGGGTTGATCCCACATGAATTCTGTTCTGAAGATAGACCCTCTCCCAAAGCAGAAAGTCTGTGCAGCTACTACTCACAGCGAACCTTGCAGATACTTAGTCATGTCAGCCTGGAGAAACTCGATCATCCTTATCCTCATGCTGTGGTTGGGACGCTTCTGCTCTGCTAACATGCATCTGACATCATAGGGAAACTCTGGTAAAACATAGGACTTTGTCCACTGGAATGTTTTGCTCCTCGCTAGAACATGTTTCACATTTCTTCTGTAAAATAAAAACACGCAGAACGTGAAATTCTGTTCCAAATATATGCCACTTTTTTTTTTCAGACAGAGTCTCACTCTGTCCCCCTGAGTGATGGGGGTGATAGAGTGTCCTGGTGTCATAGCTCATAGCAACCTCAAACTCTTGGGTTTGAGCAATCCTCTTGCCTCAGCCTCCCAAGTAGCTGGGACTACAGGTGCCCACCATGATGCCCCAGCTAGTTTTTTTCTATTTTTAGTAAAGATGGGGTCTTGCTCTTGCTCAGGCTGGTCTTGAACTCCTTAGCTCAATCCACCTGCTTTGGCCTTCCAGAGTGCTAGGATTACAGGTGTGAGTCACAGCACCCAGCCACTTATTAATTCTCTACATCCTGAGAACTCATAAACAACTTTCCTGGGACCTTAATACATGAAAATCATGGAGGTGCCTTCCATCCATACATCTACCCACAATGTTTGAAGGCTCATTAGGTATCTCTGTCCTTCCACGTACACATAAATAATTGTAGTTCTAAAAAAAAAAAAGTCATAATAAAATAGACTTTAGAATAAAGCCTGAAGTTGGAAAGAATATTAATCCATTTTTCTTGAAGCAGTAACATGTAATGCATAGCTCAAAACCAGACAACACACCTAACAAAAAGAAAATAAGCTATTCATCAAAGCAAATGAGGTGTACCATAAAGTCTTAGCAATTAAGATAATCTGAATTAAGAAAATCTTTATTTTTTGAGACACAGTCTCACTTTGTTGCCCTTGGTAGAGTGCTGTGACATCGTAGCTCACAACCTCAGACTCCTGGGCTCAAGCAATTGCCTTGCTCAGTTTTACTATTTTTTAGTAGAGACAGGGTCTCATTCTTGCTCAGGGTGGTCTTGAACTCCTGAGCTCAAGCAATTCACCTGCCTCAGCCTTCCAGAGAACTGGGATTATAGGCATGAGCCACTGCGCTGGCCAAGAAAATCTTCTAATTAATTTATTCAGTTACAGTTTATAGCAAATTATAAGATCAACATAGTATGGTTGATCTCGCCTATTTAACAAGATAAACCTTGTTTCTAAATTAAAACTTAATATAAGGCATTCTGTTTCCATTCGTGATGAAGTTTCTCCAAAGGCTGCAGAAACTATAACTATAGAAAGCAGATTGAGGGTTGCCTAAGGCTGAGGATGGCCAAAATGGATCATGCTGATAGTTCTATAACCATATAAAGCAGTGGTTCTCAACCTTCCTAATGCTGCAACCCTTTAATACAGTTCTTCATGTTATGGTGACCCCCAGCCATAAAATTATTTTCGTTGCTACTTCATAACTGCAATTTTGCTACTGTTATGCATTGTAATGTAAGTATCTGATATGCAGGATGTATTTAGGTGACCCCTGTGAAAGGTTGAGAACTGCTGGTATGAAGAAAGTTGCTGAAGTTGCTAAAACATTTGAGTTGTACACTTTAAATGTATTTAATGGTATATAAATGAAACATCAACGCTGTTTATAAAATTAAGTATCAGAACCATTTTCAAACCTAAAAGTTAATGACTGACCTTGAGTGTGTCAAAAGAGTCTATAGTAAAATTTGCAGGTAACAGTTAGTCAAAGGCACTAGGTAGCTTTCAATCCATTTATAGGATTGATGGCAATGGAAGGAACAGAAAGAATCCAACTAGAAGGCAACAGAAAGATTTTTTAATTAGCCAAGGAGGTTAACTTTCTGACAACCATGGAATCCTTAAGGCCCAAACAAAATTCTGGTGAGTTTTGACAGGCCGGGATTCTTTTAACATTGTAGGCCAAGGCCAGGCTTTGTAAGAACGTATGCTCTATCATGGAACATGGGGAGGAAAGTGTACAGGAGAAAGCACTCTCATCTCTTTTTATGACAAGCTCCCTTTTCCTTTTTTGTTCTCTCCTTGGCAGTCACTCTATCAGAGGTGAAAATAGGTCCTGGCTAAAACAAGTACACCAATAATTTAAAACTTGATTCAATATGGCAATAGGCAATTTCCAGGTGTAAAACCATTTTTCCCTATGTTTCTCTTCCATTTCATTCATTCATTCAACTAATATTTATTTGGGGGGCGGAGTCTATTAAGTGCCAGTTACTCTTCTACAATTCTCATTTCCTTCCACATCCTATAACTTATTTCTCTCTCCCATGACCAGGTATCTCTCCCCTATCTACTGAGACCAAGGGTTATAAAAGTAATGGCAAGTTTTCTTGGTTGTGTTTTGGGTCATAAAACCAGTTGATTCTACACTGTACCGGCACCTTGGTTGTGTTTTTAAAAGGTGATGTCACTGGGTATAAGTTAAGCTTGGCTTCAGTACATCATAGCATCTGTTTTTCTTTTCCCCAGAGATTTTTAAGGAAGCTAAGTTAGCTGCATGGCCCTTTGGGGCTGTTGAGGCTGTTATGTCTTAGCTAGTAGCAAACCAACAGATAGCTTCTATATGCCGATGTTATAAAATGGGGCTTGGTATGATTTTTGCCCTCTTGTTCTACCTATTTGTCCTCTGTGTCTTTTCTCGTCAACATCAGGGTAGGGACTATAATGCATGGCATTATTTTTATCAAATACCCAGGATGCAGCTAGACATACAAAGTGTATGGAAGACAGAGATATTTACTCTATCTTGCTGCAAATGGAGTTAGTAGACAAAACCGGAAGCATCCCATTTCCTTTTTCTTTACATTAAGACAATTTAAAAGGTGTTCTGGAAGTGACTAGAATCCAACCTATGCCAACTAATACAAGTATTACAAAAGTCACTCATTAGAAATTAAGAATGTAGTCCATTCTAATTTGGAAACAGATAACTTCAGGCACGATCATTTCCCATCTATAAAACTATATAGACATTGGATTAAAAAATCTTCAGTGTGAGGTTAAGATTATTCATGGTAAGCTGGAGTTGGGCAGACCACCAGTGGAAATCGGACAAAAGTAAGGGCAGGGAGCAAAAAGCACGCCAAACTCAGAGCACACTCAGACTTTGCTTCCCACCTCAGAGCCAGAAACAAAATCAACACCACAAACAACAGGTCTCTAATTCAATGAGTCTCAAGCAGGTGCAGAGTAAAATCAACTGGAAAGCTTTTAAAACATGTTAATACTTAGTACAGGCCCCAGTCTAACTGAACCAGCACCTAATGCTTACTACACCTTCAGTCTACATGTAGAGTTTACATTTGTAATCAAATAAAACTTATAAGAAAGTTAAGCTGGCACACTTGACAATTGCCAGTATCATCATTGTATTATGTGCTTTTAATTTTAAAAAATGCTTAGATGGGGGTTTTCATGATAAAGCTCATTGACTCTCCAACTTTTTCTAACTTAAGAGTGAAGAAGCATCTAATTTTTCTCCTGCTCTCAGAGAGCAGATAGTATGCCCAGATGGGGCTCATGTAGGCTACAGAAGGTGGCCCTGTAAGGTCCAGGTGAGCACCAGCTCTCTAAGGAGAAATCTAAATGGAGAAGTTGAGAATTGGTGGCTAGCAGAAGAGACATAGGTGGCTCATGAGGGCAGGGACTATTTGTTTTATCTCCAGTGTATATAACATTGTCTAGTAGAGTTGATGCACAATTATTTTTGTTGAAAGAATGAACAGGGTCAGCTGAAAGGAGTAGTTTGTTTTTTTTTCTTGAGACAGAGTCTTACTTTGTCACTTTCAGTAGAATGCTGTGATGTCATAGCTCACAACAACCTCAAACTCTTGGGCTTAAGCGATCCTCTTGCCTCAGCCTCCCCAGTAGCTGGGACTACAGGCACCCACCACAATGCCTGTCTATTTTTAGAGACGGGGTCTCACTCTTGCTCAGGTGTCCAACTTGAACTCAAGCAATCCCCCCACCTCAGCCTCCTAGAGTGCTAGGATTACCAGCATAAGCCACCACACCCCAACTAGTTTTCTGAACAAGGCTGAACTCAATTTTCTCTGGGCAGAGGCCCAGACATATCAGTGGACCCTGACTGCACTGACTGCCCTGGTAATCCAACTCCACATTTATGCTCCAGACACATCGTTCACACCGCCCCACGCTGCTTTACCTTAGCCTCTTTTATTTGGATCTCTTCCCCATCACTTCCTCAAAAGTCAATAATGATTTCCCAATTTACACATTCAGAGCCTTTTGACAATGGCCTTTTTCAAGACCGCCCAGACCGCATTTAGCCCTGTTAATTCTCACCACTCTCTTTTTTTCCTTTCCTCCTTTGACACTACAATAAAACCTCTGTAGGTTGATGACTCAAGGAACTATAACAAAGTGGTCAACATACAGAGGTGGTCACCTTAAGGAACTGGGCCTGCTGTTCTGATACACACATGTGGTGCATGTCCTTCTATGAAAATTAGGTCAAGGTCAGGAGGTGGTCAATGTGGGGAGCTGGTCAACTGTGAGGTTCTTCTGTATTTCACTTCCGTGCCTCTCTTTCTCTGCCTCTGACAACTTGTTTGCTGATTCATTCCTCCTTTTCCTTCTGTGAGTTTGCACGTGGTTTGGTCCTTGCCCCTTAGTCTCTGCTTTCTCCCTCAGAAAAACTCTGCTCTGAGCCCTAAGTTGACAGATCATAAGTCTATTATCAATAAGTTTGTCTTTTTCCATGGCCCATTCTAGATCTCCAACAATTTGTACATTGTTCATTTCACGGTAGGAAAATCTAAAACTATTCATAATTTTTTTTAAAAAAGCAGTTTCTCTGCTGGGTACAGTGGCTCACACCTGTAATCCGAGGTGTGGATTGCTTGAGGTCAGGAGTTGGAGACCAGCCTGAGCAAGAGCAAGACCCCATCTCTACAAAAAATAGAAAAACTAGCCAGGCATTGTGGCAGGCTCCTGTAGTTCCAGCTACTAGGGAGGATGAGGCAAGAAGATTGCTTGAGCCCAGAAGTTTGAGGTTGCTGTGAGCTATTATGCCACAGCACTCAACCCTAGGGTGACTGAGTGAGACTCTGTCTCTAAATAAATAAATAAATAAATAACCAGGTTCTCATG